GAATCCTGTCTTGTTGATTTTGGATGTTGGATTTCGGAGAGGGTAATAATTTTTATTCACACAGGTATGGGAAATTTGATTTTTGAGTGCAGGCTTTGTAAAGATGTTTGGGAGAAATTCATGGTATAATACGGTTGTGGAGATAAATGTATGGTTTTGCATAAATTATACAATAATTTAACATGTGTACTTTTCTTCTTGTTTGTTTGTTTGTTTGTTTGTTTGTTGTCGTTGTTGGGTTGATAGCATGAGAGGGCAAGTGAGCATTGAATACTAGTATTTACCACAAGGATTATTTATATATATATCTGGTAAAAATTGATGCCTAAGCAGCTGGAAGAAGTTTTCTAAAACAACTCTAGCATGTCCTTTAAGTCTTTAAGCATAAAATATAAAATAAAATATTCTTATACGTACTTTTTATACTTTGATTATCAAAGTTGAAAAATAATTTAATTGAAATTATATTAAGTATGATTTTAGGGAACAAAAAAAAAATTATATCTGTAGGATAATATTTAAGATATATATATATATATATATATATTTTTGTAAACAGGAAGAAATGTTAAGTACGATCCATAACCTAAACACTCATTGAAAGCACAACTCACTTATTTTCATATATTTATCTTATTCATTATTATACTAATGACAAATTGATGTATTCATCCTACACCCAATTTTACAAAATGTCGGATTGAAATAACCAATGTAATGGTTTCGTGGACAAATCTTAGACTAGTTTATAACTACACATACACTTAAAATGAGGAAACCCTTTGTTTACTTACTTATTTATTTATTTTTAATTTATTATTTCATATTCAAGACTTCTATGGCGACGAAGAGCCATAACCCTAATCACACACCCTAATAATAAAATCCACAATCACATACTTCCACATGCTAAATAGTAGCCACACCAACAACGTTCTTTGTCCCTCTTTTTACTCTTTCTAAAACAAACCCCGTTCCATATGGACGTTCCCTTCCACGTTTCCGGAGACCGCACCTTCTACGAAGCTTCTCATCTCTCCAACAAATTCAATGGCTGGATTTAGCTGATATTTGAAGACTGGAAATTTTAGTTAGGAAAACAGCAAATTTTCCAGTTTTATTGTTGCCATTTTTAAAAAACGGGGGTAACCCATTCGTTGTTTTGTTGTGGTTTGGAATGGGTTAGAGTAGAATCTAGTGAAGGGTCGGAGACTCCACTGAAACAAACACGGCCAACCCCGTTCCAAGGCAGGCAGGCAGGCACCCAGATTCAGCAGTAGTAAGGGTTGGAATTCGAAGCATGGGACTAAGTAGAGGACTGGGAGGCTAATCATCCACGCAGTAGTGTTGTGTTGTGGAGGGGAGGAAGGATGGACAGGGAATCCAAGAGCTTCGGCCCAGCGTGGTGGAGGGAGGATAAGCACAGCGGAGGATTCATGGTGGTACTATAACCGCCCCCGGGTCTCGACTCCCGCACCAAAAGCTAAATGCTGGACACGGCCCTGCAGATGAGAGAGAGAGAGAGAGAGAGCGAGAGAGCTTCCACAATTCTGCACCTCGGGAGAAAACAAACCACAGCCAGCTAAGTTAACGACCCAACTTGGGTCGATTTTTACCTGGTCAAGTCTCGAGGAGGCAGGGGACCTGGCTAATGGCTGCGTCAGCGCAGCCACCACCGACGAGATTGATGAGAGAGAGGGCGAGAGAGAGACGCTGTTCTGCGCTCCTGCGCTGAGGTAATTGCATGCACATGTGAGGAATAATAAACACGCCATTTCGGAAGAATGACGACGGAGTGTGGATCTACAAACGGGAGTTATGTGAGGGTATAAATTGTTATATTATTAAACACAGATGTTTTCATTTATTACAAACTGATGAGAAGATTTATTGCTTGGATTCAGTGAAAAAACAGACAGACAGAAAGAAAGAAAGAAAATCGTCTATTAAGGAGTCTTTATTATGAGAGAGAGAGAGAGAGAGAAAGAGGTTTGCAATTTTCAAAGTTGGTGAATAGTTGTAATTGGTGAATAATTGTATGCTTAGGAAAATCAACTGAAAAGTTGTGAGAGGAAAAGACGAGGTTGGTTTCGTTTTTGTTTGTGTGTTAGTTTGTTTTGTTTTGTTTTGTTTTTAATTATTTTTCTACATGGCATTAACAATGTCTTGTCATAATGTTTTTGTCAAGCTGTCTTTAAATTGTTGTTTTTATAGAAATTCAAGAAGTATCAGAATAAAAATTAAAAGTGCACATAAAATATGAAACTTATATATCTTTTTTTTATTTATAAAAAAACTCTAAATCAAGATTTAATATATTATTAATTAATTTAAAATTAAATTTAAATAAATAATTTTTTTTGTTTATACTTTAAACTATCAATAAATGCAAAGGCTTCTAAAAGATAGTTTTATTTATTTAATTTTTTCTTTCTTAACTATAAAAGAGACATTCATAAGATTTTTGGATCACAACCTTTTAAAGTGTGCTTTAAGGTATACAACATTTCAAAACATTTTAGTCAAGATATACAAAGAATAGCTAATCATATTGCATTTACTTGCAGTCTAAATTTTTGTATCTTTTTCAAATCATAAATTATCAACTAGTACTAATATTATATAATTTTATATTTATTAAGGGTTTGATACTTTTCATGTAATCTATGATGATTTTAATAATTATTGCTTAAATCAAGATATTTTTTATAATATTTTAAAAATATTTTTAAAATTTATTTTAATTTAAATAAAGACTTTTAACCATAAGAAAAATGATTCTTTGTCTAAAATACTCATTTAATTAGATGTAGATGACAATTTTATATATCTCTATGTCAAAGAAGTAACTACATATTATTAGATATCTTAACTTTTCTTATAAGATCTTCAAATAAAACCAATATTACTTGATTCTTAATATCCATTCTTAATTGTTTTTATTGATTTTTTTTGTTCATTAGTTGAATATTTTGTACAAAGATTAAAAAAGGTCAAGATATATTTTATCATGAAGTATTGCAACCAAGACATTTCGCCTTGTCCATTTAATCTTTAAAATAAAATTTGTAATTATTTTTTATAACATTTTAATTTTTTTCTTCTTTCTAAAATAAATGATAAATAACTTCTACCAATGAAGTTACAATTTTCTTTGTTAATTTAATGTTATATCTTGAACATAGTATCTTATTTGTAATTATTTTCTAATACCAATTGTGATATATATATATATATATATATATATATATTGTTAGAGCCATACCCCACATTACCATTCCATGATTGATTCCATCCATCCATGTCTTTGTTTTTTGTTCCATGTCCTCTATCTTCCATTCCCAACCCTCGTGCCTTATTCCCTATTTCAACCCTTGTTCCATGTCCCCCAAAATTAATCATCACAAGGTTTTGGGGTGTGGCTTTAACAACATTGGAATGTGGCTTTAATAACTCCTTATATATAATCATGTATTTTATTTAGCAAAAAATTTAATTTATCATAAAGATCTAATATAATATATTTTTTTAGCTAATCTAATTTCTAATGGTGGTTTAAAAAAATATTATTTAATCAAAATTGATTCTATAGTAAATCTAATCTTTGACTTTAAATATTTAAATATTATTTATTTCTTTAGTATCTATTTCTTTTATAGAAGAAAATTCTTTCTTATTATCTTTTGATACAGCTTAATATTAATAGAATTTAATATTCATGGAGTTTAATAGTAATGGAGTTTAAATGTTTATTCTTTGTCATAAGTTGTTAGAGATTTTATTAATGACAATTGTATAAATTAAAATTTTATTTTTATTTTTATTTTAAAAAAATATTTATAGTTGTGTTTGTAGCTTTGAAATAGTAATCCTTATAGTATTTAGCTATAAGATATTTGTCTTTATTGATAGTTAAGAAATATTTCATATGTAGAAATACCACATTTAAAGTTTTACAACAAGAAATCTTTTAGCCAAAGAAAAAACCTATTTGTAATTCTTCTTGAACAAGACTTTGGTAGAATAAAAATAGTTAATTTGTTTTTAAAAATTAACATCTTCTTTTAACATAAATTCTTCAAATAGTTCCATATTTCTTTTAAAAGATTTATATTATTAAATTGCTTCATAGAACACAAAATCCAATATTGTGCTAGTTGTAAAAGACATACAATCTAAATAATGGCAATTTTTATTAATTTTTTACTAATCCTAATTAAATTCTACATTCAAATCAAAACTTCCAAATAGATTATAAATATTGAGTTATTATTGCAAAATACCCTAATATTTATTTTCTAATAAAATCCAATTAAAAATAGAAATGGATGTACATCTACTTAACTTGACAAAAAAAGTTAAAAGTTTTGGTGAATTCTATATGACACTTACATTAATTAAAGAATAACTTCATATCATGTATTTTATTACAACCATGATTGGAATGAGATTGGGTATATTCTAAAATAAGGTGATTTTTTAAGCAACTTTGAAGAAATTGTATGATGCATGATTTGATTGTTCAAAATTTGATGAACTCTAGGTAAGATAAGAGACCTATTTACTTCAAGCTGTTTTTTGATTTAATTTACTTTGGTGCAAAGCACAACATGTGGTTGCCGTATTTTTCAGAGGGGCCACATTACGTGGTTCAAAAGTAAAAACTTTCAAAACAGAAAAGAAAATAAATTGAGTGCTTGGATAAAAACATATGGTTGGGCATGATACTATTGAATGAATTTTAAAAACAAACATGTGTGACCTGAAACCTCTAACTTGACGAAAGTGTGTCGCACAATGAATGCACTTGTTCACGTGAAGTAAAGAATACTATGTTCAGATGATCTAAGAGAAGCATATTCGGCAGGAGTATGAGCACCAAGAGTATTCCATGGCAAGACAGGCTTCATAACTCTTTCAACTACACTTAACTGTCATTGGCGTGGTATTTCACAAGGTAACTTGGCAATAGAGATAACTTGGGCGACAACAAGCCAACATGCTAATTTCATCAAGGTTGTTATTTAACTCGATCACAAAAATGATTCATACATCAAAAAGATGCCAGAAGCTTCAGGTTTCCACAAAACTGCCGCTTAACAAGCATAAAAATGGCCTATTGCCCGTGTGGGATTTCATCACGGTATTCTAAATCAATGGAGTCATAGACTGTATTGCAGACAGCGAAACCATAAAACCGTCAGGCATGATTATGTGTCGAAGCAACAAATGTGGGGATATCAGTTGGACACTACATGAAAATACATTCAGTATAATAGTTTTTTAATAAACTTCGCAACTCATTAGCACGCACTTCACGAAGATCCATCTTCAAAACACAACAGCTTGCGCGAAAGAGCCATCACCTTGCACTTGAAAGTTGATGTGATGCGGTGCAGGCACACCCATCTAAAAATGATGCCTAAGAGGTGATCGGCAGGGAGGAAATGTGATAATACAATAAAACGAACTGGTCGACTGGGGTACTTCAAGTTTCGTAATCAGTCCCAGGAATATCGTGAATTGGACGTCCTTTCTCGTTTCGAGCCATGATACGTCTTGCCATAGCGACTTGCTTCCCAAGGGCGAAAACGAATACCTTCCCTGTGCCTCCCGCACCTCGGGCAGTCCTCCCGACTCGTCTTACGTACTCACTTGGATCACGAGGAAAGTCGAAAAGTATCACATGCTCTACGTCGAAGGAGTCCAATCCCCTAGATGCTCTGATGCACAATTAGGCCAATATTTTCATCATTACAAGCATGTCAGCTTTCCAGGAACAACCTAAACGCTACTGATAGGTTGCCAGACTTTTCTGACCTTAACATGCTAATGATCATCTAAACACACAGTAGTTCAAGCTAATAGACAACTACAACCCCACTACCTAACTGGCCAAGAAAGGCACACAGTTACTTAGTTTCATAATCAGTAGGACATGGCAGACGTGTAAACGAGTAATGCAACGTAAACTGAAAGAATAGTTCCTACTTCAAACGACCACTTAAAAACTGAACGCCAAGAAACTACACTTGAACCCTTTAGCCGTTTGAGCCTATGAACTGAACAAGCCTAGGCAACCCTGAAGGAAATATTCACCAAGTACCTGTCAGTGCAAACAAGAAATAGACTCTTGCTAGGTTGTGATTCCAGAAACTGCTGCATGCTTTCAAGCCTCGCCTCTTGCGAAAGGGCTGCATGGTATGGAAGCACCGTGAGCTTGGTGCCATTGCGGTCATGCCGGTAGAGGGCATTCTCTACGTCTCTGCATGTCTCAATCTGCATACGGGAACAAGAGCGTAATCGTAAGTCCAGCTTTTGAAGGAACCATAAGCCCATTGCAAAGACTGTGGGAACTCCTTTGAACATACTTGAATACGGAGTGCAACGAGGACACCTTGCGACGGCTTTGAAGTACTTCATAAATGCCCTAAATGGCAAGCTTTACCTTGTTGCAGAAGATTATGGTTTTTGAGACGGGTCTTTGATCTACTAGTTGCAAGAGCGCTGCTTTCTTGCTTAAGAAGGCCTTTTCAGGTGTCTTCTCTTCTCCATCCGCTTGACTACAATCCACTAGCACCTGCTTCCTCACAAATGAAATCTCATAAGAAACATGAAAATTAAAATTAAAGAATGCTAACGAAACGCCCTTATTAAGAAGACAAATATTCAAATAGAGACTAAGTATGTACAGATGGACTACATGCTGTTGGCCACAGGCTGAAACATTACATGACAGATAAATGGTGACATGCGTAAGAAGTGATAACCTCCTGAAGGCCAACAGCTGTACGATGCAAAGTTGGTCCCATCAATGGGATGGCATCGGGGTATCTTGTGAGAAGGCTATCATGAATATCGAGAGGAAGAGTCGCTGTCACATGCACATACTGCACACGCCGTGATGCTGCTTGCTCCAATGTTTGCAGAACTGCTGTAAACTCTTGGTCATCATACAGAATGTCTACTTCGTCCAACACTACGCTGCATCACGAGAGTCCGTCCGGCTGTCAATACTGCTCACGAGGGATAGAAAATATAGCCATTCTTCACATATAAAAGGAAAAACGAAAGTGGACGCTCCAACCCGACAATTTTCTTATAGAAAAAAATCATCACAGCGCGATGAAAACCAGATGAAAACAGCACATTAATCGCAAATGGTAGAGCAAAAGATGCACACTCAAATGGGTGGAGACATACGTTGTAAGATTGTCCAGCTTGAGGGAACCCTTTTCGAGGTGTTGAAGGAAACGGCCAGGAGTAGCAATCACTACGTCAGCTCCTTGTGCCAGGCTTTCTACTTGAGTCTTCCATTTGAATCCACCTGTCAGGACGAGGGACCTGAAGGGGGCTCCGCCTCTTGAAAACGCTCGGCAAACATTGAGTATCTGTAACAGCCAGTATCACGGTAAGCTGTCAAAGTCTCTTTATGAGAGCAGCCATGTTTGTAGTTATAACATTTTTCTAAACTTTCAAAGACTGAGCAAACTGGAGGTCCTCATTTGGTGACATATCTTGCAAGGGCTGGAAGCACTGCACTGTGTTCTCAACGAGACTAAAACCACGATCATTCTTCACTAAAAACAAATGCCATTGATATCTCCAGTAGCCACATTTCAGTGGAAACTGACGTGCAAAACTATTTACTTCGAGACCATTGCATAGACGATGACTTGCTTCAATGAAGATATCCTAGAAGCTACAAAACCATGATAACTCCCAACCTGAACTGCAAGCTCACTGGTAGGCGCCAACACGAGGACCCTAGGCTTCTTATTCAGCTGCTTCGAGCCACCTTTTTCCTCCTCTGCACGCAACTTCTGAACGAGTGGGGCTAAGTACGCAAGGGTTTTTCCTGATCCTGTTTGATCGGCAACAATGCAGCTCTGTCCGTCCAATATTGGCTTGAATGCCATGGCCTGCACCGTGTCGCTAAAGTCAGCTTTTCAAACACTAGGTACTCCAGTTAAGTAGCTACCATGGAATCATTTCGAGACGCTTGCATGCTCAGCCAATGCATTGGCAAACTGGGTGCAGGTTGATTAAGTTGGTACATGACTAATGACTACTGCAAACCCATAACCAGAAATCAAAAGTGATGCAAGCGCCAGAGTAGGACCCCTTCACATTTCACTTAATTCCATGTTCTGACTGCTGCCTTCGCCGCCCCGCAAGTCTCAGGGTTCCCAATTCCACTCACCTGTATTGCAGACGGTTTCCTTATTTGAAGCACCGATAGAGCACCTATCACCTCCTCCGAAGCACCCAACCCCTTCAACGATTTCGTACTGAAGAACTCTGCAGCCAAGCTCGAATCATAGTTGCTCCGTGCCTTCAAATCCCTGAACCCCCGTGGTTTCACCACCGTCACGTTACTCGACTCCTCCTCACTTCTCCCACCCGCTTGTGCCCTGCTCATCTCTTTGTTTCTCGCAACTTTTTCCACGTCCTCGTTCACAGTTTTACTTGCCAGCTTCCGCTGCGTTTGCAACCTCAGCTCATCCAACAGACTGGACCGCACGGGGACGGACTCACCGGATTTCCGGTCTGCAACTCTTCTACTTTCGTACTCGTCATCACCATCATCGTCAACATCTATGATCCCAGGGTTCATACCCCCTTGCACCCACTCCTCCTCCCTCACAACTTTCTTTACGTCCTTCCAAACACTTCGTTGACTCCTCTCGTTTGTGGACTCGCTCTCAAAGCTTGCCTCGCTCACCTCGTCTGATGAGACCCCACCCTTGCCAACCAACCCTGCTGGTGGCCAACCCAGCGATTCACCATTTCCTGCAAAAAGACCAACATCGTCCGTGTTCATCCACACAACATGACCTCTTCATCTTACACACGTTCTCTGCCACTGATCAACTATATCCAACAAACTCACCACTCTTGAAACTACATTCTTGTCTAGACTGCACGGAAACAGCTCTCTCATTGCCCAACGGGATGAATCATGGTCACATATATCACCTCCGGCGGAAGAACTACTCTCGTCACCACGGACGCTGACGTCCTCATCAGATGCTTCAGAAGGAGACGAGTCACTCGAGCCTGCAGAGAAAAGGGTTCCGACTGGTGGCCATTGCTGATCAGCATCCTCTTCAGAATGTACACTGTCCACAGAACTGAACTCAGACAAGGAACTTCTTTGAGACTTTCTTCCAGCTCCGTTGCTGCTACTTGGAACAGTACTGTCGTAACCATCTTCCGTCTTCCCAGTTACAAGCTGACCAGCAAGGGGCCAAGATTGATCAACGTCGCTGCTCAAAACTTGGCTGTTGTTGACGCCGTTCATTGGGAGTTGGTGAGATTTATTACCCACAGCTCCATCAAGAGAAGTCACCGAATGTCGCCCAGAGTGCGATCCCTCTGAACTTTCAGACACCACACTGTCCTTCTGCTTGTAATCTCGACCAAATACCCTGATTCTCGCAGATCTCACAGGTTTAACCACTTCAGGTTCTTCAACCAAGTTCGCAGTAAGCTCATTACCGAATTCGTCGTCCTCCTCATCGTCGTCGTCATCGTCATAATCTGATTCATAAACATCGTCCTCCACATCGTCGTCGTCATCCTCGTCAGCGTAAGCCCCTGAAATATATTGAACTGTTTACTAAAAGCAGAAGTGCAATCCAAAATCAAATTCGAGTCACGCTCGTTGAACTGCACAACCTTGAGGTTTACCAATTCTTGCGCAAACATACTACATGAGAGGCTCATGAGATCGTAGGCACCATTCTTAAACCCTATACCCAATATCCCAGCATCTCTCCACTATACTCTGCTTCCACCAAACCAGCACCCACGTCAAAATATTACTGGGATTTTGCTCACTTGTGTAATGTCTATATCTGACACCGCTACCACATTGCAGGCACAATCAGACGAGTTCCACACCGTCGCAAAGTGGTACACAATTCCCAAACGCTAAACCCTATAATGCCCAACACAACAACCATACCTCCTTGCCGCACGCCTTTGATACTGAAAGCACCAGAGGGACCATCCATGGAGGCCTCCATAGCCTTGTACCAGCTCTCCTCCGACACATCTCCTGCAGCCACTATGGTGGTAGGCTTCCATTTCAAGTCTTCCTGTCGTGGCATGCAATCTTCGTCCTCAATCCCCCACACCACAACTTTCTCCCCCGTCTCCTCATCCACCACCTCAAATGCATCGCGGTGCATCCTCTTGTCAGCTGCCTCGCGGAGCGCATCATATCTTCCACCTCGTCTACCGCTGCCTCTCGCACTGCTATGCCCTGAGCCCCTGTACCCTCGCCCACTTCCCGCAGAACCCTTCCTTCTGTCACTGTAAGAAGAATTCTGGTCGCCATATCTCGCACTACCCCTACCTCTGTAACCACGTCCTGCGCCTCGACCTCGCCCCCGCCCCCTACCAAAGCTCTCTACCCCGTCTCCCCCACTCTCCTTAAAATCATACTCACGTCCATACGTCCCGTCTTCCTTTCTTCCATTATCTCTCGACACAGTACCCGGGCCTTTTCGTTGTGGACCCCAATTCCTGTCTCCTCTACCTCTCCCACTGGCACTCTGCGCAACAATTTGTCGCCGACTCGAAACACCCGTCTCCTTGTCCTGCTCCACAGCCTTCCACATAATCCCACCACCATTCCAAATTCCACAACCCCTCAAATTCCTGGCGCTTCCCGTCTCGCGACGCGGGCATCCTCCCACGACACCCACATGGTACACAAGCGACCTCGCGCATGCCATGGATTGCATTGCAACTCCCAACCCTTGGAAAGTCCTCTCTCGCAAGGGAGACTAACGAATTCGGGATTAAGCCATGGACTGGCCACGCCACCAAATTGAGTCCTTCCGAACACAGAGCCGCGAGCCAAAACCCAAACCCAGAGGCAAACCCAACAGCAGCTGTGGCAGATTCCAGCAGTAGGGAATTCTCAAGAGTGTCAATGCCAAGCGTGACGGGATTGAGGCAAAGATCGTCCCGAAGGCGATTCCATGCCGTTGGTAGTGGGAGATTGACGGCTGAGGCTGAGTGATAGGATAAGATGATGAGCAGTTGCTGTCGAAGGCCACCTACACCAGAAAACAAACGAACTAAAAAAACTCCCCCCCCCCGCCAATCCACTAGCTTGTTAGTTTGTTTGTTTATTAGCTGGAATTATAATTTGTACGAGGGTGCTGCATTTCTTGTGCATGATTCTTATTTAAATGAGTTGATTTAGCAAAAGGTAGGTTGACTTAACAATTTTCTATATACATATATACCTATATTTACACTTGTGGAATATTATAGACTGTCAAGGACAAAGACTCGATGAGGGAAATTATACACAAAAGGCTATCTCGATATAATAAGTCAAAATATAAACAAGTATGTATATTAAAAGGAAACTGGAATGGCTATTGCCACAAGACAAGAAACTAAAGACTCTTGAACTTGGACTAGAAGCAAGAAAGGAGTTGACAAGAGTGAAGAAGCCTTCACTCTTGTCTCTATATATACTATCTAACTAGGGGCTACGTGGCGACGTTCTATAGGACCTCCAATATGTGTTGACTTTGTAGGACACATGCCTTGACTTACAAGGCAAGTTTTTCTACGTGTGGGCCACATAGTTAGCTTGATCTTCAAGCTAACAACATGTGTGGCACATGGCCAACTTGTTGACCACGTTTCTAATCCAAAAAGTCAATTAAAGACACCTATGAAGTCAAAGCAGCATCTAGGGAGTTTCTAGGAAGCTTCCATATTAAATATTATAGAATTAACTTACTTTTATCTACTTTTACTTACTTCTACCTATTTCTATATGTAATTATTAGCTTACATGCTTATGGCCGTGACATAGACATCTACTCTATAGGCCCTAAACTTTGTTGGTCACAAACTTACAATGTCCTAGAAGAAGTGTATAAGTTACATGTTTGAGATTTTTTTTGATCTTATAGATTTAGCATAGAGAAAGAAGATTATGCAAACATCATTCTTGTATTATGATGTAATACAAGAAAAGTGATTGTAACATTGTTGACCTACATTTATGCTTTATAATATAAAATATGTTGAATATTATGCCAAACAATGTCTTTTTTATTGTGGAATTTTTACAATTCACTTTACCACTATATATCTTTCTTGTTTAACAAACTAAAACAAAGAGGTGCTTATAAATAAGATTAAATTGATTAAATATAAATTTTTATTGTTTGTATTTTTGATTATCAAGACCAATTATATTATTATCTTAGATGAATGATTAATTATTAGAATTTTTCGAATTTTTATGGTGCAATGCAAATATTATAATATCTAATGATTATATCTATAATTCCATTATAATCATGTATAGGCATGTCTTTTGTCAAGAATTATTTTTTATCAAATTAAAAATAAGAATCCTTGAATTTATGAAAGAATATATTTAAGGTCTAAGAATTTGAACATTCTTTCAATTCTTTTTTAATTCAATAAATATAGTTATATAATTATAGGAAGATTTTTGAATAATAAAAAAAATCCTATTCTTAATATTTTTTTTTTTCAAAAAAATTCTTGATAAAATTGATGGAATTAGCAACTACTAATAAAATTAATAGACAATTCTTGAAAAGATTAGCTATTAAGGATATGAATTTCAAAGAACTAAAAGATCAATAAATTCTTGTATTACTCAAAAAGACTAAAAAATTACTTAAAGATGATATAATATTAAACTAAAATAGCTATTGCCAAAGACAAGAAGATTAGAATGTCTTGAAATGAAACTCAAGACTAAAAAGGCATTGACAAGAGTGTAAAAGGCTTCATTCTTGCCTCTATATATACTATCTAACTAGGAGCTAAGTGACAACATTCTATAGGGCCTCCAACACTTGTTCAATTTATGAGACATGTATCTTAAGTTATAAGATAATTTTTTTATATATATATCACATCATTTGCTTGTATTACAAGCTATCCATACATATAATATATGGCTAAATTTTTGTTAAAGACATGAACCTCATAGAAATAAAATGTCAATATATTCTTGTGACACTCAAAAAGACTAGAAAATTACTCAAAGATGATATAATATTAAACTAGAATGGCTATTGGTAAAGACAAGAAGACTAGAAAGTTTTGAAACAAGACTAAAGACTAGAAAGATGTTGACAAGAGTGAAGAAGGCTTCAATCTTACATCTATATATATTCTTAAATAAGAGCTACATAGCGATGTTCTAAAGAACCTTCAAAATGTGTTGACTTTGGAAGACACATATCTTAACTTATAAGATAAGTTTTTTATATATGCACTATATAATTAGCTTATTCTGCAAGCTACCAACATCTGATTAACTTGTTAATCAAGTTTCTAACCTACCAATCAACTACAAATACATATAAAGTCAAAATAATATCTATAAAGCTTCTAGGAAGCTTTTCTAAAAAATATTATGAAATAACTCTACTTTTATCTATTTCTATTTAATCATAGAAAAAAATATAAGAGTAAATATGTATGTCCGTGATATTACTTTTTTTTCTATGAATGAGTTCTATAAAGAGTGGTCATCATATGTTGAGAAAATCAAAGATGCAACAAATTATATTTGTCACATACTTTGATCTTTATTCTCTTCAAAGATGGTTGATCAGCCATTGATAGTATTCCATATCAAGGGAAAGAGGGACTATCATGTTATTTGATTGTTATTGAAGCCTTTATAACTCTTTTTAAATAAAAAATTTGGAACACCATCAATAGTTGTTCCTACCTCTAATAAAATCATCAAACATTCAGATTTTTTTTTAAAGTTGTAATACCAAACATATTGTATCTTGCCTTCTTTTTGAAGAAGGACATATTGTTCTTGAAGATCTTTATGTTAATTATGTCATCTTGAAGGTTGTGACAATTATAATGTCTCATTTGATAAGTTAGCAAGTCATAGTTGTTGAGTTGAATTTGCTTATTATTGATTTTTTATTTTTTTAATATTACAAATATACAAAAGTTATAAATAAGAATAGAAGATAGAATGCTTTTTTTCTTTAGATCTTGTTTCTTTTATAGCAAAGATTTGTTATTCTTCATCTTGATTTTGATGGATATTATTGACAAAAGAAATTCAATCTTTTTTATTGTATTTACAAGATTCTTTAATAGCTCCAATGTGCATTCAATAATATCATATCCAAGCCAATGAACAAGATATTCTAATCTATTTTAGAATTGCCTTGAATTTAAGACTTCTTTTACATCAAATTCCTAATTATTATCCATTTTTATAAGAAGAAGTTGTATTTGTCTTCTTTCTAAGATATTTACTATCTTATATGGCTTAAAAAGAGACATATAGAATATGGAATAGATCTTCATAAACTTTAATAGATATAGTCAATAAGCAATAAGATTGACTTGTTTATAAATAAAAAAAGGTTTAAGCCTATAATAGTCCAACTTGTTAGAAAGATAAGTAGTCTTAATATTATGACAAAGTAGCCATATCTTGTTATCTATAGTGAATTAAGGTTGTTCCTTATGATAGGCATCTGCATTGATCTTTTATTATTTTTTGAACTTCCTTTAACTGTGCCTTTATTGTTGCATATATCTTTGATAAATAATTTACCAAATCTTCTACCATAAAATTATCAACTTTTGAAAAGTCAAAAGTATCAAATTATAGATGATAATCATAATTGGTAAAAAAAATATTTATTGAATAAAAGAATATATCAAATTATTATATGCAAACTTTGCTAATGGAAAAAAAATCGTCGAATCATCTTAATGATAGTTGATAATACATCTCAAATATTATCCACAACTTGATTCATCCATTCTATTTGTCCATCAATTTGAGGATGAAAAGCCAAAAAAAGCTTTATATCCACTTTTAAAATCTTGATAAAAATTGAGTCTTCCTATTCAGTATAATATTTTTGGATAATCCATGATAGCAATACATACTGTCAAAAAAAAACTTAGATGTTTCTTTCCTTGTGATATATTTTGTATATGATACAAAATCAGCCATCTTAATAAAATAATCTATAATTATAAATATAAAATCATATAAACTTCAAATTAGAAGATCCATGATAAAATCTATAGAAATAGAAGACCATAGTTGTTTTAAAATATATAATAGCTTGAAAAGTCCATAACATCAATGACAAAGAATTTTTAAACTTAAACAAATATCACATGATTGTACAAAGTTTTTAACTACTTTTCACATTTGAAGCTACCAAAAATCTCTTGATATTAACTCTAAAGTTTCATTGCATCCAAAATGTCTAATTATTGGAAAGTCATGACAAGCTTGAAGAATACATAATTATATTTTATATTTTAGAATATATAATTATATCCTAAAATAAAATACATTATTTTAAAACTCAAACTTGGAAGTATCATGAGACTTAAAAGAATTATTCTTAATAATATGAAAAAAAAGATTAGAGGACATATTTGATTGAATTTAATTAAAAAAGATTGAATAAAAAATTAATATTGATTTTATTGCTCAAAGATGAATTTGCCTTAGTTTCAAGAAGATCATTCTTTGTTGATCAAAAGCTACATTTTCTTCTTTTGATTTAAGATAAGGATGTCTAAAAAGGGTGGTTAAAAAACCTTATTATTTTTTAAGTTGATAAATAATCTTGAAATCAAATCTTGATCAAGACATACTCTAACAAGCTTAGCAAAAATTCAAAATATATGTTGATATAAAATAATTAAAATTTTTCCAATTTTGTCACCTCAACATTTAAGGCCTCAATTTTAGCCATCAATCACTCCAATTCACATATGTATTGGTCACTCAATATCACTTTTTCTTGTGCCAATAACTCTGCCTTTTTTCATTGTGCTTGTAATTGGCATTTGACTTTCGTCTATTCCAAATCCCATATGCAATGATTTTGGAGCAATTCTTCCCGTTGACCTTCTACGATCTATAAGATGTATTTTTTTTTTATTATTTAAGCTTTCTATTTCTGTTAAAACCTC